TCCGGTGAGACACAAGTTCAGCCGACTGATCAAGTGGAGCATCACACAACCACACTTGTCGGGGAGCAATGTATATCTAGACCGAGGCCTTTCGTCCCTTCTCATGATTCGGAACTTTCTCTTCAACCTTTTATTGACTTCTCATCTCGTTCTTTTCTTATTTCAGTCTACAGTGTAGGCTTCCTTTCTTTCTTCTTACTGACAGGCTTGATGCCTCAGAAGAACCTTTTTCTTTACAAATATTAGTATCCGTTTGTTTATATTGTAGTTCCTCCACATGCCTAACCCTCTCTCATGGCGGCAAGCCGCCGTGGCAGCACTGCTGTTCAACGCAGCCGTGACTGCTAATTACGATACTCGACACGCTGAAGCCTCGAAGGATACCAAGCGGGATTTGGACACGGGCTCGGTGAAGCATGGACGCTTCGACGTGAGGAACCTGGTTCAGAAGTTGAACGTTGACAGTGTTCTGTCGGCGCTTGGAAGCAACAGGGCACAAGGTATGTTTACAGAACTTGGAGACTTTGAGTGATTCGTTAACTAACTCAACAAGATGCGTCTCCGAACCTGACTCCGCTGGCCGCCGAGGGTGCTGCTGCTCCTGTACCGCAGCCCCCAGCGAATGGAGCACCCCCAGCTCCTCCGGCGAACGCGCCGCCTCCTCCGGACCCGAATGCTGCTCCTCCTCCACCACCGCCGGCTGCGAGCGGTGCTCCTCCCCCTCCTCCAGCTGGAGCACCACCGCCCCCTCCTGATCCGAATGCCGCTCCTCCTCCGCCCCCTCCGGCTAACGGTGCACCACCACCTCCTCCGGCCAACGGTGCGCCGCCACCGCCGCCTCCCGCAGCCAGTGGTGCTCCCCCTCCTCCTCCAGCTGGCGCACCGCCGCCACCTCCTCCGGATGCGCCTCCGCCGCCCGACCCGAACGCTCCCCCGCCGCCTCCCCCCGATGGTGGACCACCTCCTCCCCCTGACGGAGGGCCACCGCCGCCACCACCCGATGGAGGACCTCCGCCACCACCCGATGGTGGTCCACCACCGCCTCCTCCCGATGGAGCACCGCCGCCACCTCCTCCTGATGGACTTGGACCTCCTCCGCCGCCTCCTGAAGCTGCTCCGGCGGCAAACGGCGCTGCCCCTCAACCTCTGGCCGTCCCTGCTGTCGGTGCGCCTCCACCACCCCCGGGTCTTGCTGCCAACGCTACGGCTCCCCCTCCCCCTCCTCCCGGAAAGGGCAAAGACGACGCGGGCAAGAAGGCGAGAGATGACGCCAAGAAGAAGGCCGACGATGCCAAGAAGGCGGCTGAGGCTGGAAGAGGAGCTGCTGGTCCTGGTGCCGCGGCGGCCAACGGAACTGCCGCGGTTGGTCCTGACGGAAAGAAGAAGAAGGGAAAGAAGGGCAAGAAGGGCAAGGCTGATCTCGGCCCCGGCGCCCTAGTAGGCAACGGAACTGCTGCAGCTCCTCCCCCTCCTCCCGGAAAGGGCAAGGATGATGCGGGCAAAAAGGCGCGAGATGATGCAAAGAAGAAGGCCGATGAAGCGAAGAAGGCGGCCGATGCTGCCAGAGGAGCGGCCGGTCCCGGCGCTGCTGCCGGCAACGGTACAGCTGCAGTCGGTCCTGATGGGAAGAAAAAGAAGAAGGACAAGAAGGGGAAAAAGGGCAAGGCCGACCTCGCCCCCGGAGCTCTGCTCGGAAACGGTACCGCAGCTCCTGTTCCACCACCTCCCCCGGATGCCGAGCTGGACCCCGAGGCTAAGAAGAAGGCAAAGGAGGCCAAGGAGAACGGGCTGGACGCAGCTTCCGGTCCTGCTGAAGAGGCGGCGTTGGGAGGTCCTCCACCACCGCCTCCTGAAGGCGAGGAAGACCCTGAGGCGAAGAAGAAGGCCAAGGAGGCGAAGGAGGCGGCTGGAGCTGGGGCAATAGCCGCAGGACTGGAGGCTCGGAAGTTCAATGGAAACGGACGTCTTGGTCGGCGAATCGGTAAAACCGACAACATCGACCGACGCCGTGTTCGTGAGATCAAGCGGCGGAACCTCATGGGCAATTGGGGATGGTGATCACTGACAGGGATGCTTTGCCTCGCGTGTGCGAGTGTGTGTACCTACGCTACACAGATCTACGGATTGCTCTGGGTGGGTAAAATTGTCGAGATTTCTTTTTCATTATCCTGTTTACTTCAAGGGACCTCTCCAATCAACATGACTGTCTGCGACAGCATCACATACTGAAATCCGCTCACATACGGATTTGACGGACGAGAAGTGTTGAGTTTCCGGCAATCATACCTAAGTAAACCAGTATATCAATTTCAAAAAACAAGAAAAAAACGAAAAAGTCAAAGTTCCGTCCCATCTGTGAATTGGAAATGCCGAGAGAATGGCGTCGGATTCTGTGCATTTCCCGAGACGCAAAAGGTGCGGCATCTGATTTGACAGAGAACTGGTTTAGACTTCCCGTCTGATCACGAACGCAAACTCAACTATTTCTGGACCACCCCGTTAGCTGCGTCCGACGCACCGTTTCGCTGAACGGATGGCGCATTCTTCCCGTCATATGACTCGATGACTTTCTCGATTAGGCATTGTTCGAAACGGTAGGCCTACACGATTCTGCCGAGGGACATGATTGCAGAGGCTTAGCCCGCTGGACGATCGGACTGAGCATCTGAGCTCAGCTGTTAATTCCCCGCAGAGCGCATGTTTCTGCGGCCGTCATTGAAGTCAAAGTTTTTCATCAGATCATTATGTATCTTGCGCTTAAAATAGTGGTCTGAAGTAGCGATGATACTGTCTGTGTTGATTGTCGGTATTTACTGACACCAACGGAGCCGATGCGCACTGATAAAGGGCGGCAGAAAGGGACGCCGAGAGATCGACAGCCTGTTACTGCGTCGCTCCAGGCTTCGGGCATACTGCAAGAGTTGGCGCACCTGAATCAGACTTCAGAATGCACCATGGATTATGCCGCATCAAAATCATTCGGTACCACTTGGAAGCCCTTCTACCCTACTCCTCTCATCGGCTCTGACGTCTAAGCAAGTCCGAATACAATCACCTGTATGATACTTAAGGCTTGCGAAACTTTGCCGCTGCAAATCATTCGCCTCAGTTCTGCCTTTAGTACCGTCACAGACGGCCAGGCACGGCTATCTAAGCCGTGCGGTGCGAGGTGGTAGGAGGAGTAGCGTCAGTCCTGCCAGGGCCGTGGCCACTACGAGAACCTACGAAGAAAAGGTTACAGTCGCCGAGTATGCCCTTAAATAATGAACAGGTTCAGAAATTTGAGCGGCATTGACGAGCTGTCATTCTTGTTTCTTTTGGACGTCCAAGCCACGGGACAATAAGCATACTTGTTCCGAAACAGGCATCACGATCATATTTACTTCCGGACTCAAATTAGCCATGAGAGTTCATCTCATTGTGAAAGTGGTAAATGGTCGGGGAGGCTCCCCCTAAATAGCCTGCAAGCTATGATCGTGGACAGGACCACTAGCAGTAACTGTTGCGTTTGACGCTACGGGTATTTACCCTTTTCGCTTGTAAAGGCAGCTCCTCACTGCCTTTGAATGAGTGCCACCAAGGCACTGAACCAGGGGCTTACGGAACGAAGATCTTCATGGCATTCTTCAGCTTGCCTCTGTTTCGGAATGAATGCAAGTGCATGGAGCATGAGAACGATGCCCCGCGACAGCAGCTACCTGTGGTGATGGTATTGTTTGTAATCCTGCTGCGCCTTCTGGGTCTTACAATACAGGGGATAGAAACGGTCGCGTGTTGCAGTACAGTGGCAGCTGTTCTTTTCAGGCCCAAAGCCACTGGGCAGAACCCACTCAGTTGACTGGATCGGCGAAGAGCCGACAATCGTTCGCCGGCGGACATACAGCGAGTGACTCGTACAGGCTCGCATATGACAGAAGATTGATAAGTACCCGATGCTGTGACAGATTCATCGCTTCCCCAATCTTATCATGGCCAGAAGGGTTGCATCTACATGATGATTGTTAAACCAATGCCTAACGGAAGCTGGTGGCGAGTCTTCGCTGGGTAAATCTCTCAGACTAACGTTTCCGCCCCTGCCGTTTAAGACAAAGTTTCGACCCGATGGGAAAGATGACCACTAGAGTTCTAGGGGTGGATTCTGCCTCTGGTGGCATGGTGCCTCGAAACCAGGAAGAGGGCCCCCAATTCCAAAATACTAGCGAGGCACCACATTTAAAGGCCGACACCAAGCTCGAAAGGCGACAACAAACCGATGACTTTGAGCCTTTCCGCTAGGCAAGCCACTGTATGATAGCAGTCATTTGCCAAGTTGTAGGCATCAAGGCAAGTTAACACCAGGTTCTCCGGTCGCGAGATGAGGTAAATGTACTTGCTTGATGAAATAAAGATATGACGGCGCACGCTGCATGAGTTGATGATAGTGTCAATGGGGTTCACGGTGTAGACCATTTACCTCACAATACAGAACTGAACGCAATTGGAGAATGTAATCAATCGAGTTGCAATGCAGTTCCAATCAATGTTTTATCCTATTAAGCCACACTATCTCAAGTTCTCAAACCCGAGCATCGACTGCCATCCGAAGCACAAGGTATGCACCTGGCGATGAGGATCAAAGAGCTAGGCAGCCGCGTGAATGTCTCCTCGTTACTTGTCGACTAGTTCGTCGGTGTGGCACAAAAATGAGGGGCTACGAAGAGCTTTCCAGCCAAAGTTTTGCCTGGCCCCGGCGCCAATTCCGGAATCCGACCCGAAATGCCGCCCCACTCCGCCGGTTGGCCGGGGAGTGGCCCCGGATTTAGCCCCACTAAATCGATCCCGGAGTTTAGCCGGAGTAGTACGGGATACTAGATCCACAATGAAGCATGCCGAGGCCGACATTTACCCGACATCGTAATGGCCATCACAAACCCCGACGCGTCCATAAAGAAAGACTAAGGGCGGAAGATCCTAGGCGATTCATCAGTCGTCGTAGATGCTGCATCTTACTGCTAGAAAATATGGCCACTATCACACAGCAAGAACGCGTTGTCACGGAGTCTTACGAGCTCGCAGACTCCTCGAAGCAAACCCCCGCGGTTGACGACGCGCCACCACAGCCATCCGACGAAGGCAAGCTTGACAATCAGACCCTTCTGAAGCTCATCGCCGCTGGTTTCGCATTCTTTGTATCTGGTGTCAACGATGGCAGCGTCGGACCTCTACTCCCGTACATGATTCGTGACTACAACATCAGCACAGCTGTTGTCTCCATTATGTTTGTCTAACCCCCTCTCCACATTAATTCTTTTCATCAACACCTTCTAAACGATGGTAAACAGCTACGGTGCAAACTTTCTCGGATGGTTCCTTGCGGCGCTTACGAATACCCATCTCCGACAAGTATTTGACCTCGGTGGCCTGCTCGCATTCGGCGCTTTCTTCCAGCTCGTGGCACATGCACTCCGCGTATGGAAGCCTCCTTTCCCCTTCTTTGCGGTCACCTTCTGGCTGGTCTGCCTGGGTCAAGCATATCAAGATGCCGGCGCCAACGCATACGTTGCCAGCGTCAAGGCTGCCCATCGATGGCTAGCCTTCATCCATGCTCTCTACATGGCCGGCTGCCTCGTTGCGCCCTTTGTTGCGACACCCATCGCGTCGACTGGAGAGACATCGAAGTGGTACCTCTTCTACAGCTTCCCAATAGGCATAGGTGCATTCAACCTGGCTTTAACCTGCTTCGCGTTTCGGGACACGATTAAGCTCAGCCGGAAGAATGACGTCCCCGAACTTGGCTCGTCAGGAACGCCCCTCGGATTGGACTCGGAGGAGACAAAGACACCGACTCAACTCATGAAGATGGTACTCTGCACTAAAGCCCTCTGGGCTGTCAGCTTGTTCTTCTTCTTCCTTCTTGGAGCGACTATCACGGCCAGCGGTTGGATCGTCGAGTATCTCGTTGAGATTCGAGACGGCAACATCGGGCAAATGGGCTACGTACCAGCTGGCTTCAATGGTGGAGCAATGCTGGGTCGACTGCTGCTAGCGGAGCCAACATACCGATTTGGAGAACGAAGAATGATCCTGGTGTATGTGGTTCTATGCATCGCCTTTCAACTGGTCTTCTGGCTGTGAGTAAGCTCAGGCCTTTCCGGGGAGCGTCTTGCTAATTTGCATGATAGGGTTCCCAACATCATCGCCGCCTCGGTGGCCATCAGTTTCTTCGGCTTCTTCTCCGGCCCCTTCTTTGCGACAGTAAGTGTTCATACCCAAACTCTGTTGGTGTTGCTGATATGAACCTTGTCTTCCGCAGGGAATTTCCGTCGGGTCCAAGCTCTTCCCCCCGGAACTTCAATCAACAGCACTATCATTCGTGTTTGTCTTTGGGCAAATTGGCGGCTCTCTCTTCCCTGTCATTACGGGTGTTCTCGCATCTCGCGTAGGGGTGAGTGTCCTACAGCCAGTTCTTGTGGCATTGATTGCCGGAACTGGGGTCAGTTGGCTTTTAGTTCCTAAGCCAAAGGATTCCACCAACACCGCGCTACACCAGGAGTAATAGGACAAGGAGTTTGGACGAAGGTTCCATACGGGTATGTTGAAGAAAAGTGTCACTGAAAGAGGTTTTCTGTACCTTTCGCAGCCCAGGGTAATCACCCGCTATCAAGGAAGTCTCAACTAGCTACCTGAATCCAAGATCTTATATAGTCCAATCAGTCGCGCAATACCCTCTCATGCTCACTCTTACCTTCCGGACTAAAGGCGAAGTGATGTTGACTTGACACATGTTTTTGTACATAAGTACGTGTTGAAAGCTACTATCAATGAAAGAAGTCATTTAACATACAAGATTGGTAGCGACAGATATCTCGCACTTGTTACATGATAGAATCATAAAGCATACATAAGTCATCGTTCGTTAGCGGCCCATAACCCCCGACTTTACTTAGTCTGGCTCCAGTCGAGGTCGTAGTAGATATCGATGTCCTTGATTTTGAAAATGGCATTGGACTTCGGGGGTCCAACACTCCAGCCCTTGTCACCATTGGACCAGTTGTTGAAGATCCAAGGTCCGGCAGCGCTAGGGACGTCGCTCTGGGTCTCCCAAATGAGAGACCCGTCAATGTAGAAGCGAACAAAGACTTCAGTCCAGTCGATGCGATACTCATGCTCGGTGCTTGTGGGACTAGCCGGCGGGGTGACACCTTTGTATGTGCTTGACCCATCGCCATTGGCATCCTGGTTGGTGAAGTGGATTTTGCGAACGCCGTTGTTGCTCAGGGAAGAAGCGTCAGAGAGCCACTCGATGTCTGTCTCTTGGGTGTCATTGTGATACAGGAACATGCCTAAATCCAAGTCAGCGATTCTATCGTGGAAGCAAAACTCAACGTGAGTTCTTAGATAGCGGGTACATACCGTTGCAAACACCAGCCGGTTCAGAGAGAATGGCAACTGTGCGAACAGAAGCATACAAGATCCGCTCTTCAGTCGTCGCAACCTCTCCACCGCTGTAAGGCATAGACTTCTGTCCTCCAGGGACCTTCAGCTGCAGGTAGCCCCCTGCGACATTGACGTTGCTCGTGGTGTATTGGTGGGTCCCTTCGCCTACGGTGTAAACGCTGGTGTAAAGCCCATCGGGAAGCTTAGTGGCGCCCGTGAAGTTGAAGAACAAGTTGTAAGCAAATCTGGCGTCTTCATTGATAACATAAGAGTTGTCGACGAAAGTGGGCTTGGGGGAGCGAACGAGACCTAGCACAGGGCTAGCCGCTAGAACGCTGGCAATTAGGGCGGAGGAGATCATGATGTGATGTGTGATAATGAAGGCTATGAGGTGACTTGAAAGTGCTATGGGAATTTGATATGAGGCAGAGGATAAGGGACTTGAATTATGCGCAGCGGAACCGCTGGTTTTATATGCCCAAGACGATTCTAAGCTGCCTTCAGCTCCGACATCTAGATCTCCGGCATTGGAGTCAATCGTCCGAGCCAGAACGCTCTTGACTTCCATGTCTTGCCCTCACTGTTCTTAAAACACATGACAGATTCCTGGACACCACCTCGTGAACGTCGGTTACGCACATGAGGATGCAAGGGAGAGGCTGTCCAACTTGAGTAGTAGCGTATGTGGGATCGCGCTTGATCATGCTCAGATTTCCGAGTGGAACCATGGCGACTCTGCCAAATCTAGACCTTCCCGTGTGGATTATTACGTACTTGATGATCACTTCCCAGCTGCGCCCGGGGTTGAATTGTTTTAGGGGTTCAATCCAAGGGTCGCTAGTCGGGACTTTGGAATCGTGAAAATTGTCTCGGGAACGTTGCATCGCGGTAAAACATCTCGGGCTAGACCGTCAATTCCTACAACAGTCCCCGTTCAAGGGAGTGTGAGTGAGTCTAGAACATAAGCATGTACCGTGAAGCTTAACCACTACCGTTGCCACTACCAAGAACTCTTCCTCGAAGTGAGACATCGCAACCCTCTCCTCCTCTGGCTAAGGTTTACGCAGGGAGAGGGATGACGCATCCCACTGAAATTGTCATCTTAGAGGTTCCTCGTTGATGAAAAGGAGACGACTTGACGTCGGATTAATCCCTGTGTACGGGATCTTCGTGGGCTGCACCCTGCTCCCAGTGTCATAGGAAAGCAGCAAAGTCTCACATCATCACGCGGCGGCCTAAAAGGGAACTTACTCTCTGCTGATCAGTCACAATGGAGTAATCGACATTCAAAAGAGGTCAAGGAACCAATCCAGGTGGTAGCTAAGAATTAAAGTAGAAAAAAAAAGAAACCCTTATGTGAATACACTGACGAAACCTGACCAATTGCTATGACATGTATCCTAAAGTGGCAGACGGTGATTGACGCTGGATCAAAGTGGGTGTTTAAAATTGTTGTGGCTGCCTTGAGATCCTACGTAGGAAACGCGGAAAGAGGCCTCAGTAAGACGCATTTGGATGCCCTGGGACTGGATTAATACCAGGTCCATGCGATCGGCGTCAGTGACGGGGATTCCCAAGACCGTTACAATGACAATTCAGACCAGGTAGAAGCTTCGCTTCCCAATAACCCGCAGCGTTCATTTAAGCCTTAAACCTACGTATAACCTTGGGACAATCTCCTACTCATTCATATGGTAAGCCTTACTGATGTCAGTGGCGTTGAAGGCAACCAACCAGTCTTGCATCGCTCGGAGACTGGTTGACTGTTCTACAAGTGTTGGTTCTGGCAGTGGCTTTCTGGGACGTCATAATAACTCTAGTCCAAGTGGATTGTCCATCGGTTTGCTTACATACACTCTCGGGGTCCATTCGGATGGGTTTCACGCCGTTGGCGTTGTCGCTTGCACTGTTCAAGAGCGGCTGCCGGTTGTCGCGATGTTGGCAGCCTAGCATATTTAGGTGCAACAGAACAGCCACCACAAAAACCCACTTCTCACATGAGAAGTATGCACCTAGATCGAATTTTTGCAGATGCTTGAAAAATTTTCTCGTCATCTCACGTCCCAAATGCAAAGTCGTCGGGTGTTTTCGGTGAACGAAGGTGGCAGTAGACAAGGCAACTAGGAGATCCCGAATGTGTAAAAAAGGCATCAATCGCAACCATCAACGTTGAAGGTAAAAGTGTAAAATTTGGTCCAAGCCCCTCTTACAGCTGGACTTGGCGTCGTCGGGAAGCTGATGTTGGAGGGAGCCGACCAGTCGGCTGACCCCTTCCAGCCAGTAAAATCCACCAGCACACAAGGCTACAGGATTCAAGGTGTGTTAAGTCTTTACACCCACTCAGTCGTCCTTTGCACCATAGCCACCCCAGCTGCGGAAGAAAAACGTGCACATTATTGGTGTAACGCCGCGTTCTTCATCGAGCCACCTTGGATAGGCCTCCGAGTCGAAACCTCGGGGTCTTGATAAATCCACCTTGCCCCTCCGACTGGCTCCTCAACTACCAATCGCTTTATTCAAACATTGTTGTTTGTTAAGAAAACTCCAAATCCTTTCCTCGTCAAGAGTCTCCCGAATCGACACCACAGCCTAGAAATGGACCACTTCAGGCGTATTAATGGGTATACACGGGGCGGAGACACCAACGCGACTAGCAACAATACCCAAGAACAACGCCGCAACGTTTCATCGCAAGCCATGTCCGACAATGCAACAGTATACTACAGTGCATCTGAAGAAATTACGGACGATGAGTCCACTTCTGAATCTGACCTAGACGACGAAGACTTTCGTCTCTTAGGCGAAGGTTCAGCAAGCTTCATAGCCCCTTCCGCAGAGTCCTCCACTGGATCTCGGGTATGGGACACGACGGGCAACAACACCTCTTTAGAGACTCTTGCCACGACATGCACCGAAGCTTCCGAACCGCTCCAGCAAAAGTTTGTCTTGATTCCAGAGAGGCTTGACGTATTTCAATACCAAGTTCCCTCGTCTAGTCTACCAGCACTACCGACTGAGGAACCCCTATTTCCGTGTGTCAATCTAGGCCACAGGAAAGTTATACCGCTGCCGCCTTCACTACAGCCCGGAGAGCCCACCCAAGTACCTCAAAAACATGGGCCGCCAGCTACGCAACGCCGATCCACCGCAGATAAACGACGACGGCACAGTACATCCTCTCGAAGGGCTTCGAACATTGCCCGCAAGCGCTCGGCCATCAGTCTAGCTCACAGGGCTGCCGGCCCTGAAGTTATCAAAACGGCCTTGGCAAAGGCTTGTAAAAAGCCAAGTCCGAGCTCAACCTTCGTCGAAGCCCTTGTGACACTCGTAACTGAGCAAGGGCTGCAATCAACTTCGTTCTACAAGCAACCAATTTTGGACTGTGTCAAGCTTGCCACCAAGAAGCACAACAAGTGTCTCCGAATAATACTTGAGGCACTGGGGTTAGATAAGAAGCATATGCTCGACAAGATCCAGAGATCAAACGGCAACTTGCTTCGGCTTATCCTTACCAGGCCAGACCGGGAGCCTCTTACGATATACAAAGTCAAAGCAATGGAGATTCTTCTAAACGCAGGTGTTGACCCCAACGACACGGCGAATGGGACTCGAGGAGTACCATTGCATCAGGCAGTTGATCTGGGGGTCTCCGGAGCTGTTAGCCTCCTATTGAGTTGGGGCGCCGATCCGCACATTAGAAATAGCGCAGGACTGAATGCCCTCGACCTTGCCAAGCAGTGTGCTAGGAATATGAATGGGGCCGAAGGCGAATGTCAAAAGATGGATCGCGAGAAAATCTTGGCGCACCTGATGTCTATCACATCGTAGTTGGGGGCTGTCCCCGCGTGGGGACCAACGGGGCTTGCGGCACAAAGTAAAGGCTGTTTGTCAGATACTCAAGTAGAATGATTCACAAAACGAAGGTTTAGTAAGCGTAGAGTTGATATTCCATGTGAAAAGATCTCTAATGTCCCAAAGGCCGTATGATAAATCTATTGACCATCTCTTGCCTGCCTCTCACATGAAGTTATGTTTGAAACTGACGCTTCTTGATATGGACTACCAAGGTCGGCTTCTTCCAGATCGTCCACGACTTAAGCTCTGAGTACGGCGTTGTCCACTTCAGAGATGATTTGTCAAGGGTCATGTCGAACTCCCAAAGCAACCTAGCCATAATGACTCGCATCTCGTTATACGCCAGACGTTTGCCCACACAGTTGCGAGGACCGTAGGAAAATGGTTGGATTGCGTCTTGCTTGTCTGCGTGGAATGGAGAGGCAGGGTCTTGAGCGACCTCGGGAAGCCATCTTTCTGGAATGAAAGACTCCGGCTGAGCGAAGTTTGACTCGGATAGACCGGCAGATGAATGGTGCACGCCAACACAGGTCTATTCATCCATTGACGGTCTTGTTAAATTTGTCCATAAACGTAAACGCCTTCGAACGGATGACTTATATGGGGAGGAAGATAGTAGTCTTCCACATAGATTGTCTCTCCTGTATCAGGAACCATTTTTTCGTTCACTGACGGGACAGGAGGATACAACCGGAATGTCTCATTGAGCACAGCAAGCAAGTAGGGCAGGCGTGCGGTTGCGTTGGTGAAGTTGATCTCCGCGGCTGATTGGAATGCGCTCCGCACCTCCGTGACAGCTCTCTTGTAAGCTTCAGGGGTTGAAAGAAGGTAGAAGGTAGCAGCTGTCATGAGCGTTGCTGTAGTATCGCTACCAGCCACAAAAATGGTATTGGTATTGGTGATGATCTCCTCCATGGAGCTGATCAGTTTCTCGTCCTTCCCACGGAGTAAACCTTGCATAAAGTCTCTGCGGTCCAACTCCCCATCGATGTCGATTCTGCGCTGGACCGCAGACCGTGTGTAGGTAAACATGTCGCGGAAACCCTTCTCGGCATCTCTCGCGATAATCGGCATTACGATCCACCGCAAGGGGCCGAGGAGGCTGTTGAGTTCAAACAGCTTCTTCGCCCGTTCAATGAACAATAGAACATGCGTTACAACATAGTGGAGCTCGTTATTGTCAAGGCCGCCGAGTGACTCACCGAAGGTCAAGTCTCCAACGATGTCGAAGGATGCGATATGGAACCATCTGCCCATCTCCGTTGGCATGCGAGACTCCGCTACATCTGACAACCTCCATACAAACTTGTCTACATATTTGTAGATAAGTGGTTCTTGCTCGGCTAATGCTTTGGGTGAAAAGGCGTGCGAAACTCCGCGGCGGATGCGGGCGTGGTTGGCGTCGTCGGCAAACAGAATGTTAGATTGGGGCTCGAGTTGTTCCGAGCTGTTGTACTTGGGAAATTGTCCGTGTTTGTGGCCATAGATGGTTTTCCAGGCTTCACTGGTTGTAAAGGTGATATGGTCTGGGCTCCAGCGAGCCGCGTTGCCATACTTGCGATGGAGTTGTCGAAGGTCTTGGTCAATTGTCCCGAGCAGAATCTTGATCTTTGGAATGATAGGTATGATAACCCAAAGCTTGGGCCCAGGCACCCGATGTAGAGGCGAGAAGTAGGCCTGATATATGCCGCGGCCGAGATGGAAAAGCAGCCATAAACAAGCGGCAGATATGAGGATTTGGGGGGTGGACTCGATGCCCAGCGGAAGATAAGACGCCAATGTCATGTCTAAGATAAAGAAAAGGTATGATTTATCCCCTGAAATTGAGATGGCTTATCCATTATAACTATAACATGAGATGTTTTGGTCGCGTCGCTTTATATCTGTAGATATCTTGGACGCAACTGAAATACGGACTTTGAAGCGTGCGCGCTTGACCCACCCCAGGGACGTTGTCAACGTCAACAGGCCACAAATTTCTAAAAGCGGAAATCGAAATACCGAGACTCGTGGCATTTATAAAGTTTTGTTCCCGCTTTCCGGGATATGTTCATGGGCGTACGGCTCAATGTAAGGAGAGACGGCGGTGTCCGCCCTAGGGCGCCGGAACGGTCCGTGACACTTTCTCGGAGTTCCTCGGACTTGATGTAACAGCAAGCGGACGGCGGGTCTATCAGCCGTCCGCCCGCAGGTCATCGAATCGGAGTTAGAACATATCATCCCCCGTAATCCCGATTTGAATAAGCGGTCGGAAAATTGAGACTTGGGAGCGACGTCGATCTATCTTACTGATCCTTACCGCCTTGGCGTCACATTCATCTGGCTGCAAGACAGGTAGATGAACGGTGCGGGATCTTACAGTGCAGTTTTCTCTCGGCTGCACACTATCCAAGAGGATAGTTGTGGCTAAACGTCTCCCCCTGCATTGTATGTGGTAGGCCTGAACGGCGCCTCAATCCAGCATAGTTCAGCATGACCGACGAAGGGCATTGGGAGAAAGGCATTCCATTAATCGACGGAAGAAAGCTGCACAGACTATGCCGCAATTTAAAAAGACTCTTATCATGCTGACCCCCATAGCTTTTGTAAAGCACCGTCTTTGCCGTACACTGGATCAAACTCAGGTAGCGGAATCTGGCTGATCCCCTGTCGGGTTTCCTCATCAACTGGAGTGTTTCCTATCGAGCTTCGCCAGTGTTGGGCTCCCTTCAATCCAGTTAGCCAAATTCGGGCAATTGACGTATAGGATCGGATATCATATTACCGAAACAAAAAGCGAGATGTAACGGAAGTTCCCATCATGATCCAGAGATGAGTGGCCTGTTCCTGCAGGCTGTATCACGACATCACCAGCAGACACCCGAAGGCGTAAACCTCTAGTTGACCTGACGTCAACCCCATTGCTAACAGCAGCCTCAGGGGCGGCTTCGACATCTGCTTCGCTGTCGCCCATGGCAAGCCCCAACAGAAATGTTGATGTGCCACTCAGAATTGCTGGCGAATTGTCGTTAGCACTTGTAGTCAATGGCACATTTGAGCGCCAGTAATTGACTGGACCAACGGTAAATGCTACTCACCATAGCACTCGTGGACGTTGGGATGAAAATGTCTTTTCGCCACAGGACCCCAAACCGGGCCCTAGAGAGTGCAGTGTGTTAGTCCCTAACCCACCATTCCTTGGACTCGGAAGACCTTACAAATCGTTCCCATCCTCCATGCTTGGTCAAAAATTCCGAAGCAATTTGTTCGGTGACATCAGGCGGTAGAACATTTCGGTAAACTAGGTAGGGCAGTTCATTATTTGGACAGAACTTCGTCTGTGCCAGAACGTAACACTCTGGACTCTGAACAGCCATGCCTGCGGGCGTATTGAGGGTTTGCAATGCTTGATGAGTGGCGATTTGCTGAAATTCGTCGTCAACTGAATCTCAGCGAAAAAGGTTTGTGCTGACGATCAAATAGTTCGAGGGACAAAGATCCAGACCTAAAAGAGGTACAGACAGCATATCTAATAGAAGTCTAGTGAACTGTTTCTGAAGCACATTCTTATATTCTGTGGGTCGCGTGAGCATCAGGGCGTGTCGGTCGCCAAGCAATGACGTTGAAGGTGGGTGAGAAATTTCCTATCTTGGACAGAACCCGAAGGCAGACAGCAATACGCACAGCTTGCTGATTCGAGCTCTGGTGTCTACATCTTGATTGTAACTTGATTCCTAATTATGATCTTTAAATCCTTCAATCGGTTTTGTGAAATGCGACGAGGAAATTGAGTGCTGAAAGTGCCAGACCATATTTATGGGAAGGGCAATACCAATGTGAGGAAGCCTTTCAACTGTGATTGTGTGGCTTCTGCCTTTGGCCAGTGATATACTTTCCCCGTCATTGGGTCATTGCGTAGTTTAATCTGGATGTTTTGACACGCACGTCAACTGTAGTAAAACAGTACGAATGGTGGTTACAAACTTCTCTTAATTTATCTTAGGGGGAAAGGAAGTATTGGCCTGTAACATAATCGAAGAAGTCAACAAAATAACTACCCCGCTGTAGAAGAGAAGATAGAGTAACTGAACAGTCAAGTGCCAAAGAAACCTAGTGTGCAGAGTCATGCGGCATGAAATGTTCCACCAGGAAAGAGGATTCCACCGTGTGTTACTCATGAATACCGAAAGACCTGACCGTGACAGCTCCACCCCGAGCGAGTATAGCATAGTTGAAAACTCCGTAGCGATACCCAAAAAGTGAAGAATGCCGTTATTGACTTGCTGGTGAGGTTCTCCCAATGACTGAAAGGTGACACCGTCGGTGCTGTACGAGAACCGGCCTTCTTCGTTGTAGAGTGAGTTGACACCAACTTCGAGGCGAAGCCACACCGACCCAGCGCTGATTTCAGCACTCTCAATCTCGTCTCCTTTGTTGATCGTATGCCATCCGTCATCAGGAACCATCATGATGTTGTTTACCATCTCAACCTTCGTTCTGTCACCATCTTTGACAACCCCGATCCACGCGGCTGCGTAGCGGAAGAGAACGAGGCCCGCCTTATCGCCGTCGGCCATCTGAGAATAGTCGAGTTCAATGGTGGCTGTTGAGACGGGTCCCAGGATACGATGTGTGATAGTGTTTCGAGCGCGGAAAACGTCATCTGTGACAGTGGCAGTGCGAAGCTCGAGCCCATTGTTGATGCTCCATGCCGTGTTGTCCGGGTTGTGATTCCATTCGTACTGGGGTCCTAAGGTGTCGAAGTTGTCATTGCCAGTGATGGGCTTGACTGGACGCTCAGGTAGGGGAAGTGGATAGGTGGTCGCCCATTGATTGTCAACGAACTCAACATGGGGCCAGCCCTCCTCGTCCCAGTAGATGGGAGCAAGGACTGGAATACGCCCGCCGGGATACGCTTCGAGGTGGGCAATGTAGTGCCAAGCACCGTCAGGCGTGCTCACAATGGCGCCTTGATGGGGGTTGCCGGCGCCAGGAACGGGATTTCCGTTGCTTTGAAGAACCCATCTCCACTCGTAGGGCCCAAACGGCCCAACTGTTGACTTGAGGACGATCTGGCTTGGGACGGGTTCGACGATCCATAGATACCAAGCTCCGTTCCTCTTGTAGAATCGAGCTCCTTCGATGTATCCCAGTTCCTCGGTTGATTTGGAGACACCATCGTCACTCAGTTGAGCCACGGAGATGTTCGTATGGCCGTGGGCCACATACATCTTGTCGTCATCATCGATAAGCATACCAGCATCGTAAAGGCACTGGTTAGTGGTCGAACTCTGAGTCCAAGGTCCTTCAACTGCAAGAGCTGTGTAGACGTATGTAATTGCCGTCACCCACAATACACCCACCCCAGTAGAAAGTGTCTGTGCTCTGTCGATAGTTGAAGAATGATGCAAAGATGCCTTGGTTGTAACGTGAGCCGGATTCCAGATTGAAGGCCTCAGTAGTTTGGAAGTCGAGGCTTGGAACGGAGTGAGAAAGATACTCCCAATTCACTAGATCGTATGACCGAAGAATGACTGCTCCGGGAGAGTACTGAAAGGTCGAGGCCGAGTAGTAATAAGCATCGCCAATCCGAATGAGGTCAATATCTGGGAGATCCTGCCAGATAATGGGATTGGTGTAATTTGTCTGAGCAAAGACCCAAGAGCAAAAGAGACCGAGAACCAAGTGCAGCCACATTGTGAGACTATGAAGAAAAATATTGCTTGTGCCGTTTGATACGGACCTCCATATTCAGGGGATCGACTTTATGATTTATAGGTGAATGGAAGTTTGGATTTGTGCTATTGTCTATTCAAAATACGCTCGTGATACCTGTAGCTGGAGGTCAATTTGACAATATCGGGCATGTTACGGAGACTGCTATGGTGGTAGTAGTTAACGTGAAGAAAAGGTCCGGTGGAGATGCCATCATTAACGCATAGTACGCGCGATCTCGCAGGCCCTATCCGGCGGAGAAGTTCTCGGCACACGCAGGCTTCATCAGAAACTCGTCGATCGGTATTGGAATGATCAAGAAGGTTGTAAGCCTATTCGCTGATCATTGTGGCGTCATCGCCGGGACCCGATCCGGTATTGCTCTTCCGGGGGCCGGTTACCCCGGACGGCTGATCGACATTGCTCCAGTGGGGGTGGGCGGCCGGCCGATGTCATTGAATGCAACAACCGCCACATTGGTATTGGTGCGTTTGACTACGGCCCGGGAGACTATCGAGAGTCCGCCGACCTTTTGAAAATCTGTCTTTCTCATGATGTCTTGGCCAGGTCATGACTATATTAGAATATTAATGCTGGACGCAACCGCAATATTTTCGAGATTAGCATTGCCATAACTGGTGGTCTGCCAAACGATCCGCTCACGTTTACCAGCATCTTCTTGGAAGTCATTGCCATGTCTAGACTTTTCTCTCTGGTGGTTACACTGGTGGGCCTCATCAACTGTGCAGCCGTTGAACGACGATAGCCACCAGATGCAGTTGCCACCGTTGACCTTGCCATCGACAGGGGCTCACCGCAGCATCTCGCAAGCGGTATTATCTATGGAATACCCGATGTCCCAAATCAAATTCCTGATCAGTTTTATACTGACATTGGCCTTCACTGGTTCCGCGCTGGTGGTGGTCAAACGACTGTGCCCAACCGTGGCTGGTCCTGAGGCGATGCCGAGATGGAAAAGAGATGGGAATCGACGCTCAGCAACTACAAAACTGTCCGCAAGTACAACGGAAAGTTTCAGCTTCTGCCTCATGACCTCTGGGGCACTGACTTTACCGACGAGTCTATGGAGTGGCCCGGTGACAACGGCGACTGGACCGACTTTGACCGCTTTCTGGACACTATTATTAGCAGGATCATTGACAACGATATGCTTCCGGGATTATATATCGACATCTGGAATGAGCCTGAATGGGGCTTCTGGAAGAGACCTCAGGCGCAGTGGCTTGACATGTTCGGTCGGACTACAAACAGATTTCGGTATGTTAGCACAGATCTTTCAATTCATTGGTTAATAGCTCACATGGGAAGGTCGGACGCCCGTCTTGGAGGAGTCCAAATGATTGGTCCCTCTCTTTCACTGCCACCCACAGAAGAGAACACATGGTGTTCTAACTTCCTATCTTATGTCGCTGCGAATGACTCCTCGCCAGACTTATACACATGGCACCATATTGAGGCACTTGATAACCCCGCCAATGACCTTCAGAACAGCTTGGTCACTTTCAGCAACATGCGATCTGCCGCCGGTGCTCCAGAGAAACCCATCAACATCAACGAGTACCTCAACCTTGCCGATGAACTCAACCCAGCGGCAACAGTATGGCATCTGTCCCGATTTGAAAGATACGATACATCGGGTCTGCGCTCTAATTGGCGTGGAGGTCCAGATGGTTCTCATCTCCGTGATTTCTTAGCCAGTCTCATATGGCGCGACAGCGAGAACCTCCCGTACCACTCAAACGGTGACTGGCAGGCACTGAAGTACTACAACCTTAATATGACCGGTTATCGAGCCGGTACAACTGGTTCTGAAGACCGAATATTCGATGTTTACGCCACGGTCGGGAATGACAAAGTACGTGCCCTTGCTGGGGTGCGGGTCAAGACGGGCACCTGGGCCCTGACTTTCAAGAACCTCAGTGCTGTGGGCCTGCCCCCGGCCGGGGAACTGAAGATCCAGACCTGGGGGTTCACCTACGAGATCCCCGAAGCCGAGTTGGATGGTCCTACGGACCGCGGCATTGCCACCCACTCTTACACGAACGACGAGATCACCATAGCGATTTACCAGACGGAGGAAGATTGGAAAACTGCGTGGGCATTCGAGTTTCTGGTCTAGCGTAAACTCACAGAGAGAATACACGTTGGGGTTTAGTGCAGGGAAATCATTCACATACTTTTTGATGCAGCAGCAATGTGGGAGTTTAAGTATGAGACGCAAGACAGCAAGTATTGTGTAGGTATGGCGGTGCTAGGCCAAAGTAATTGCGTTATATTACGTACCTTTCGCTCAAGCGGACCGCCATATATTATGCCTTACAGGCGCGAGTTCAGCGAGTCAGCGGTCGGGCAGAGAGCATCTCGTGGGCTTTAAGTCCCTACAATACCAGCTCAGGGGCTTTTACTTTACTCTCATGGATAATATAATAAGCCTGCGGCTAAAGGCAATACCCACTTGGCTCGTCTTGAATTTCCGAGAACAAATTCAAAACGGCCTCTTTGAAAAGCTTAGTCGGCTTATTTGAGGTGGACAGTTTCGTTGAGCAGAGCACTGCCGGCTTCAGCTAGATGCGATCAGTTATTTTTCTGTGTATTTCATGATCAGAACTTCTGTAAATGCGCGACGTCTGAACTATTATTATCCGTGATTCATTTTCAGGTGACATGACTGATTGGTCGCATCGCTGGTAGTGCCACAGATGTTAAGGGGATAACTGCCGCACTACACTGAAGCTCACTCCGTCAGTTATGTTGACTCTAGTGTGACTTCTGAAGCCAGCATTTGCGCGGCCGCAGGAGATAATCTAAGAGACTTGACCATGTCTTTCACGGAAATCTGACGGTAGTTTTGGAAGTCTTTTCCGTCTTCTTCTTTTACTTCTTTCTGGATGTAGAAAAATCGGGTGATTGAAGCTGCCGGGAACCTTGACTGTGGAGGGATGAGCCCTCTATTTCAGTGGGCTTAGCAAATATAAGCCGCAAACGCGCCGTAGTCCACACTATCGGTTAGTTTGTCTCGCTGATTTACTGGCTACGCAAGCATCGCTCAGATCCTCATACGCTGCTTGAGCTGACCCTTGTTTAACAAGAAAAGTCTTCTTTGCACCAGTGCCAACTGCATAAATAATTGACCATGCTGCTCTTCAGAATCTGCCCTTCGAATCTACTTTTTACTATTCAAGTCTCATTTTCATCTAAGCAAACTCCCTAAAAAGCAACTCAATATGCAGCTCCTTCCTGCCTTCGTCGTGGTGGCTTCGTTCGCATCGATGTTCGCACTGGCTACGCCCGCCCCTATCAACATCGATAAGTGCAATAACATCAAAGTAGCTACATGCTGCGCTGGCTATGCTAAGAGCGGAGACTGTTGCAAGAACCCCGGAGATTTCAATTGCTAAGTGAGCTTTTCATACTGATCCCCCACCTGACAAACCGCTAACAAAACAGGGCCCTGTAACCCCCCAGAACTCCGTCGATGACCACGCGCCTGCTACTTGAAGACCATCTGACATTGTCGCCAACTGTGTACGACGCAAAGAAATGAACATTTCTGGACATCATTTTTGGTAGCGATTTAGGTGGCGACGAGCTTCCTATAGTCAGGTCGGTCAATAGCAATGTTGCTTGGTATATTTAACTGTACGACGTCTTGTACATGTACTCAAAGCTGTGGCTTCAGCGATGCGCACTTGTCATTATCACTGAGGTTCATTATCAACATCAACCTCGTATCCACGCTGAACCGATTGGGACGAACCATGTCCTAACCGAAGTTTAGCGTCGGAGCACGGAAAACATGGCCATTGGGGACTTTAGCGGCCGTGCATACATGTACTCAACCCAAACTGCTGTTATGGGCCCATGTGAAAGAGCAATCACATCATTCGATGCCAGCTTACTTGAATATAGTATGACGAAGACTGTGATGAAACTTTCTCCAAGCAGTGTTCCTCGCGTGCATTCTGCTTTAGGCATCTAGATCTTCGCTTAGGACAGCAGCGCCAAACCGTGCACTCCGGTCCACGGAGCCGTCTTATCAGCGGGCTGCGGGGTCGCACTTTGGGGCGATCGCTTCTTTATCTACCCATATCCAGTAGTTTTCCGTAACTTCTGCTCTGGACAGGATCGCGAGTGCTTTTGACGCTTTGTAACCTGTTCAGAAAAGATTCACTGCGCGATGTCGAATCGTGTCTTGTAAGACCCCGGACTCCCGGCCCGTCAACCCACGGCTTCATACTGGCAACAGCCGCTTCACAGCGGCCTCAGCGGCATACAATCCACCTCGCTCCCCACAAACCGAGATGTCGTTATCATCGGGTCCGGCATCACTGCCTGTAGCGTCGCGCGCGAACTTCTCCAGTCTCCCAGAGATCTAACTTTGACTGTCCTCGAGGCTCGCGAGGTTTGTTCGGGCGCAACGGGTCGCAATGGTGGCCGAATCAACTGCGTTGCAGTCTTGGACTACGACAAGTATTACCAGAAGTTCGGCAAGGAAGCCGCGACGAAGATCGTCCGATTTGAGGTCACTCACTTTGATAGAATTCTGGCTGCAGCAAAGAGCTTGGCCTCGAGGACTTCGAAAAGTCTGAGGTCAGGGAAGTCGGAACTTGCGCGGCTATGTTCGAAGATGAGCAGTTGGCAGATCTCAGGCAGAAGCTGGCCAATTTTGAAGCAGCATTTCCGGATCTTCAAGGGCGATGGAGAATCGCAGATCAGAAGGAAGCCGTAGAGGTGAGGGTTCTGCTGTTATCATTTCAGATAAATAAAAAAACTGCTAAATCACCGCCAGACGTTCAAAATCCCCGAGGCAAAAGGAGCTCTCGTCGGCCGAGCAGGAGCTGCATGGCCTTATCGGCTTATCACGAGCATCTGGGCATCCCTCTTGACGAGCCATAGCAGCAGCCTGACCATCGAATCCAACACTCCGGCCATGAATATCCGAAGAGACGAAGTGAATACGGATTACCCGTACGCCATCAGCACCCCTCGGGGCATAGTCCGCGCGCAGCACATCTTTCTCTGTACCGAAGGCCACGCCAGCCACTTAATACCTGGTCTTCGTGGTATCATTGTTCCGCGTAGGGGGGAGATGACGGTCCAGACTCCTGGCAGCCAATTTCATCAGAGAGATGGAGCCTATTCTTGGAGCTTTTATTTTCCCCATGGTTTCGATTACCTCACCCAAAATGCCCGGTCTGGAGAGTTATTCGTGGGCGGCGGCGATGTCGGAGGGGAAGAGGCCTTGATGCAACCTCTTGGTATAGGCTCGGACGCAGAGGAGATCATCACCGCGAAGGCCCATCTTGCAGGCGTTCTTGGTGTTGTGTTTGGTCAGGAGAATACGGGGGATCCGCCAAAGATGCGTGCTTCATGGACCGGTATAATGGCTAATACGCTGGACGGCGTACCGCTAGTAGGAATGCTTCCTCAGGCGGCTCTGGACCGTACTGCGGGCGATAGAAACTCCGCAGAGTGGATTTGTGCTGGTTACGGAGGATATGGCATGGTCAACGCATGGCTATGTGGACGAGCCGTGGTGAAGATGTTCTGAGGCGAGGATGTGCGGGATTGGTTTCCCGGTGAATATGTCATGAGTTCAGAGAGGATGGATAGATTGCAAGAGAAGCTGGAGAAGGTGAAGGGTTCCCAAATGCATCTCAAGGCATTGCTCTGAAAGTTACAAGCATCGTTAGGATCATAGGTCATATTACTGGTCTAGTCTCGGAATCTCAGTCGAGGATTGCGAAGCATCGTTGGTGGCGGTCAGGTGTGCTCGCATAGTTTGTTAAGGACCAGGGTCAAGTGGAAGCAGACCATCGCAGAAGCCGAGTGGAAATCGTAAAGAACGCCCCAAGAACTGCAACGGGCATTCAAAAGTTACATAATTTATGTCGTTCTAATACAGCAATTGAACCTTTTTTTGGGTGTACAGCCATAGTATTAGTCCAATATTGACAAGTCATAAGCCGGGAGGAGGATGGTCTCAATCTTGCCGTTTTTGGTCATTTGCCGAGGTGCGTCATCTGCAGGATGCTAGGTCAGGATACCATGCCGTCGAATCCACTCCCATGCGACTGTCATCTTGGTGTTTATCAGATATGGACATCCAGTTGCGTCTTCGATTGGTCCGCTACAATGATGTCGATGCGATCTTGACGTTGTATGGCGTCTTGAAGATGGGAAAACCCCGCCATTTTGAGTGTCATCATATCAAGCAGGTCACACGGTCTTTGTCGCGGGCAAAGGAGATAATCTGCAAGCCCCTTTTATCCCACTGAAATACCAGCGCAGCTAACAGTCACATTTCGCTTGGTTTTGGTCTCGCTTGTAATCGTCCACAGATGGTTCTCGCCTGAATCATCTCACACATCGACTGAGATGAGCGCCAACTACTCTCCCATAAGATTTAGCCAAATTTCGCATCCGAAGATTCGCCTAGATTTCCCTCTTGACCGCCAGGATGAGAAACCACCTCGTTCCTCTACAGGGGTTGTGAAGGCCTGCAATGGGAAAGGGCAACCGAAAAGTCGATTCGGGTGCCAGGAATGCAAACGACGACATGTCAAATGCGACGAGACCTATCCTGTCTGCCGGCGATGTCAAAACCGAGGCGCGGTGTGTGTGATGCCGACCAGGAAGAAGACATGGACTATGGAGCTCCCTTGGCTCGTCACACCAAGCAGTTCAAGGGCAGACGAAATGACTGCGAGCCATTGCAGATCAATAATCTACAGTAACAATCACTCCAGGCAACTTCAATATTGGTTCAAACAGGCTTGCCACATCATGGTGTGGGACCCGGAGATGAATCCCATGGGTCTTCCAATCTTGAAATATCTCAATGAGACGCCATCTCTTCTGCACGCCATCCAAAGCCTGAGCGCGGCTCACGAGAACTACTACTGGCCCCAGAGTATGGAAGAGAGTCTCCTGGAACGACAAACCGCGCTTAGTCTCTTCCAACAAGAACTTCATAGCTCTCAAAGACCTCCAATTTCCGCCTTCCTGACCGTCTACACACTCGGCATTTCTTCCCCGTGGATCGAGAACTGCATGGGAAAGGAACATTTAGCAGGCGGTCGTGCCATGAGTGAGATAATGCTAGCTTCAGATGGCTTGAAAGACGAACTATCCCAGTTCGTGTTTGGCGCTTTCATTTACTGGGACATGGCATATTCGTTCCTCTTGGACCCTCAGGAACAGCAACCTTTGAATACACCGGATATTCAACGGAATCCAATCGCTCGGAGACACATACCATTGCATTGCCGGGTATGCGATCGAGATGTTCTACCTGATCGGGACCTTGGGTCGTTATTGTCGAGGCGTTATCGACGGTCAAGATCGAGATCTCGTTTTAGAGGCCACCTTGGAAGAGCAAATGATCAGTTGGTCTCCAAGGCAGGACAGCCCGATGCTATATAGTATGGCGGATGCTTTTAGAAAACACGCGCTCATAATGCTTTACCGCATTTGCCACCGTCGAGTCATCAGCGCTTGCAACCACATGGACCAGGAGGCGGATTGCACTGACGAAACTGAGCACACCATTTCGCGTCATGCCTTCGACATCGTGCACAGTCTGGGACAAATGCCGTCACTAATCCTTATCTGAACCTTCAGTCCATCCCGCTGATGACAGCAGGGTCGGAATTAGGCATGGAGAAGGTGGAGTTACGAAACGAAGTAAAACAACGTTTCAAGGCTATCTACTCGTTAAGTCGCATACCAGCTAACTTGAGGGACATCGAGTTACTGGGGGAGCTGTGGACACTTCGCGCCGTCGGGATAAAAATGTCATGGCTGGCACTTCTCTTGCAAAAGAATTGTCTCCACAAGTTCACCTTAGGATAGTACCTCAACAGGCGGGACATGTTGCGATACGTGGGATGCTTCATTCGACTGAAATGCTAGCTCTGTATCAATCAAATGATCCTGAAATCTGACAGATTGTCGCTGAAGGACTTCGCCACTTGCTCCCGATATGATTTGAGTCCGCCAAACCAAAATCTAGATGCGACAGGCTTTCCTGGGATGTTCGCACCGAAGATCCAAGAATTGGTCTCTTTGAACAAGCTCCCCTCTGAGACTTCTTCACACTTGAACCCCCACTCATCTTCTGCCTCCTCTTCCACCTCTATGGCCACAGAGCCATCTTTACCATTGGCCTTTCTAGCCTCCTCAGCACGCTTGATCACACCAAGCATCAGTTCACCAGACGCTTCTACGGCGGATGGAATGTTGCAGAACGGTCCTTATGGGCCATTGATCATGAACATGTTCGGGAAGTGAGAACAGCAAACGCTCATGTAGCTGTGAGCACCACCGACCCAATGATCCTTCATGGTCCGACCGCTACGGCCACGTATAAGAAGCCTGGTGTAGCTACCATCGATAGCATCAAAACCGGTCGCGAAGACGATCAAATCCACCTCATGTTCGATATCGTCAGATGTACGAATACCCTTTGGCGTGAGAGCCACAATCTCCGTTTCTCTCAGATCGACCACGTCCACATTCTCACGATTGAATTGTTCGTAGTATCCAGAGTCACAAAGCGGCCGTCGAGCGTACCGGTTCGTAGGCGTCAGCTTCCGAGCCTTGACGGGATCCTTGACAATTTCCGCAATCTTCTTCCGTACGAAGCGACACGCTTCCTCGTTTGCCTCGAAATTTGTAGTGATGTCACCGAAACCGCCGAACATGAATCGGAAGCCGTTTCCTTGCTGCCAGAGCTTCTCAAAGACCTTCTCGCGATCTTCGGGGCTCACGGACATACAAGGTACTGTCGACTCCTGGAACCCGAAAGCGGTGCTAGACTCTCGTGTCTGCGCCCAGATGTCGTCGTAATTCTGGTTAATACGTTCGCGGTACTCAGGAGTTACAGGCTTGTTTCCCGCAGGCACAGAATACTGAGGTGTGCGCTGGAATACGGTGAGGGATGCAGCGTGCGGGGCAACAGCGGTTACGATCTGAGTTCCCGTTGATCCAGTTCCAATGACTGCAACGCGTTTGTTTCTGTACTCGGCATCGGCATCCCAATCATGGGAATGCACGATACTGCCTTTGAATGTGTCGGTTCCAGGGATGTCGGGAAGGTTTGGACGGGATAAGAGTCCCAAGGCGGTAACAAGGTAGCGGGGTCTCATTGAAGATGGCGGAACGCATCTCGGTGTTGAATTGCATATATTTGCGGAGGTCATGCTTCAAGACGACGTGACGGAGGTACGCTAGGATCTCCGGCTGGGTAACGTAGTGGTTCGGCCAAGGGTACGTCATCAAGTCTTCCTTATCCCATGGGAAGCGATACAAATAGCTTTCTGTATCTGACATGGCGCCAGGGTAGGTGTTGAAATGCCAGGTGCCGCCAACATCGCTGACAAGATCGATAAGCTTGAGCTTGGAAAGGCCAGTGGCGCGCAAATGGTAGAGGTTATGAATGCCGCCCAAGCCAGCTCCAATGATAAGCGCATCAAACTGTTGTTTCGCCATGTTGAGTTTGAGTTGGCTCCTTACAGATCTTGTTACAGCGCGCAAAATATGTGGCAGGAAAAGGGCAAAGAGGTTATCGGGCACAGAAGCGGTAGTTCAACTTCAACTCGTATAGCACGTCGATAACTGCACGCATATTTGTACCCTAGATTCAATGAGTGCCTCAAATCGTTCGTCACCTGCCTCAATCATCACATGCGATATGCGATATGCTTTCAGCTAACACTAGGTGTCCAGCTCAATCAGCGTTCAGGATCCTCGAAGCTCGTGTCGATGTCGGGTTATCGCAAACGAGCCTAATCTAGATTCCTCGGCCAGCCAGTTGAGGAGGACAGATAACCAGGGGTTCGCGTCTCACAAGACCATCATTTGGATCAAGTGGCATAATATGGTGTTGCCCGTTTGGGACAGCACGCGAGATATGCGGGGGTTCCACTCGCCCTTTTCGCTGCCGAACCGCTGTGAAAAAGAGCTGCAACTTGAGATACAAAAGGGCTTAGACGCGGAGTTTCCATTTTCAGAATGTATGCGAAGTGCTTCCGTCTCTAATGGCAATGTGTATTGCAAGTTTACTGAATACTTCTAGCAGCGATAATGGACTGAAGGAACATGCCACTAAAACACTGCACGCCGCTTGGCCTGTGATTTCTATTGCGTTGCGACAGGGACGTCATCGACCCGGCACAAACTGACATCGAATAAAGCACCGTTGCCGCTGTTGAGCTGTTACTCTTTTGAAGTTGCGCCGCGGGATGGGTTACGTTAATGAGATGGAACTCATAATATCGTCGTTTCCTCCACAAATGAATGATCTAAAACGATCCCTGCTACCCTCCAACTAGTTACAAGCGTGAATCATGAAGAACTTCTCCAGTTTGCATGATGGCATCCGCCACGATCATCTCCGCCGCTCTCTCCCCCACAGCCAGAACCGTCAACATGAGATTAACCGTGGGAATAAGCGGGAAGACTCCCGCATCTGCAATCCGGAACTTCTTGATGCCCTTGACCCTGAGCTCCGAATCAACTACTGCCAGTGGATCCGTTTGAATGTTTCCCATCTTGGTCGTGCCACACGGGTGGAAAACCGTGTTTCCCGCCTTTCGACCATACTCCGAAAGTTCGTTGTCGCTCTGAATAGCCGGGCCAGGCGCAAACTCCCGCTTGATCCACCCCTTAAATGGCGACTCGTCCGCAATCTTCCGTGCAGCCTTCAACCCCCACACAACGGACGCCCCATCGTAGCCCTCTGGGTCCGTGAAGTATCGGAAGTCGATAGCCGGCTTCTCCTTCGGATCCGCGGTTTTGAGCTAAATCTTACCTCGCGATCGAGACCGCGGAATGTTAGGGGCGACGCTGAACGGCGTCTTCGGCTGCTCTGAAGTGTACCCCAGCCGCTTCAGATTGGTGTCAAAAGGAACAGTAAAGATGTGCATCATCATATCGGGCAACGTGCCGTCGTCCCCTGCAGCGTTTGCCGGCTCGCGGCGGACAAGAACGGCGGCATCGGAATGCATCGCTGTCTGCGGGGGGATCTGCTCATTCATCTCCCAGGCGATGATCGTCTCCGGGTGGTCCATGAGGTTCTCGCCCACGCCGGGAATATCTCTCACCACGGGGATGTCCACAATTTCCAGGTCCTTCCTGGGTCCGAGGCCTGATAAGAGCATGAGTCTGGGCGTATCGATGCTGCCAGCGCAGAGGATCGTCTCGCCCTTCGCGGAGATGGTGATTCGCTGCCCTGACTGCAGTGTAACATCAACTCCAGCAGCAGTATCCTTCACGACATTGATCTTGTTGGCCCACGCATTGGTCAGGATCTTCAAGTTAGGTCGCTTCTCGTCTCCTTTGATAATCGGATGGATGTATGCCACACTCGCGCTGGACCTATGGCCATTGTCGGGGTCGTAAGTGACTGGCAGATATCCAACAGCACCGGCGGTCATTCTGTCAGGTGACAGAACTTCCGAGTTGAAGTCTTTAGTCACAGGAATGCTCAGCGCCTTTGAGGCGGACTCGATCCAGTCGTCGACAAGGGGTTTGCGCTGGCCGTCTGGAATCTGATTGATGGTGTTTCGCAGTTTCTTGACAAGCCGTGATAAGGTCTCGAAGGACCAACCTTCAACACCTGCTTCGGCCCATTTTTTGCAATCGTATTCCCAAGGGTGCATTGCGATTCCGCCGTTGTGGCTCGAGCAACCGCCAAGGACCTTCGCGCGCGAGTGAACAATGTGACTGTTGCCTGTGGAGCGCAAGTCAGAAATCAATTCCACGTTTTGAGGTTAGCAAGGGGGCATTCCCACCAAACTCTTGTTCCGTCAAAGTGTAATTATAGTCATAATCGCCACCTAGCAGGTTGAGCAGATTCTTGAGTTGCAGGATGTTCTCGTCCTGCCAGTCGCTGGGACCAGCTTCGATAACAATGATTCGCTTGTTGGGGAGCTCCTCTGCGAGTCTAGACGCGATAACACAGCCAGCCGTGCCGCCACCGACAATCACGAAATCGAATTCGACCTCATTCGCGCCCAGGGTGTTCGTGATGACCATTTTGTCGGCGGGTTTGTTGTTTATGATAGAGTCAGAAGCAGCGTGCAATGTACGGAATGTCGATAATGAATTAGGCCCCGCCTCGATGAAATAAATTTTGCAGCGCTGCGTACTTATACTCATGTTTCCTGTTTGTAGATTCAATACATGTTCAACAGGAATCCAGGTCTTGGTTGGTGACATCACTGTATTCTTCAATCCAAACCGTCTGGCCTCATCATGTTGCCTCCGTCCCGAGATGTCAAACTCCGCGCGTTGGACACGATCTGCATCCAGCAAGCACGAAGGGAAAGCAGAATTACGAAAAGCTCGGGTTTCTCGCTCTTCGTCCATTTTAGGCATGGAGTTTAGCGCGTATTCGATGAACGATATCGGTCATAACTGACTGTTTCTATCTACCCCACACAAGCCCGGTTTCGCTTTCCTGGAACTTGCAACATTACTATCAATGATATGTCCGCGCTTATCACCTCGGAAAGAGTCTGGATCGGGCAAGTATGGCACATGACAGGACTACGTAAGATATGATAGCCCAGTGGGCAACCCATGGCATTTGATAGCAGACGTTATCAAAAGTGATCATGGTAGCTTGATATTGTCGCTGAATTTGTCCCTAGAAAACGCGGAGTACACTAATGATACTGCGGCAATGTTAAAGCCAAAGCCAAGCCATCTCTCGTTCACTCGGGCTAAAATATTCTCAGACTTCTTTTCCGCACTTTTAATATCACTTTGGTATGGCAAGCCGATCCACAACAACTTCACCACACAAGTTCCCAAGGACATTCAGGACATCAATATGTCAACTCTAAAAGACAAGGAAAAGGCAGCCCGAACTCAGAGTGGTAATGAGGTGGCCGGAGAGTCGCAGTCCATCAACCTGCCCGTTGCTGAGGACGGCCACATGGAAAGGCCTTTCACGACATGGACGGCTATCGGAATCGCCCATTCAATCACGAACACAGCCATGGGAATACTTCTCACTGTGGGAACGACTGTCCCATTTGGCGGCGCCCCGTTATCCTTCTTCGGCTTCATTCTCATGGCCTTGGTGGGACTGAGCACGGCCACCAGTCTTGCTGAGCTTGCTTCCGCCATTCCACATCTTGGTGGGCAGTACGTCTGGGTGGCCCGTCTGTCTCCAGCAAGTCCACGAAGGTTCCTGTCGTATGCGACAGCAATAGCAAGCTGGGCCGGCGCGGTCTGCACAGGGGCATCAGTCTGTCTTACTGTACCTCAGGTCACACTGGCCATGGTAGCGATGACCAGGCCTGACTTCGAATACAAGCCTTGGATGGGATTTATAGGGTACCACATCATCAACATTCTGACAGCCTCTGTCAGCTGTTTCGAGCGGATTCTTCCCCAGCTAGGAAGCGGGTGTCTCATCTTCACGGTCCTGTCGATTATGGCTATCGTGGTCAGCCTTTTTGCAGGTTCAACAGAACGAGTGACCTCGGAGCAATTCTCCACGGACTACTACAACATTTCTTGCTGGCCCAAAGGCGTTGCATTCATCATTGGTATCAACGGCCTGAACTGGAGCTTCTCCTGTCTGGACGCAGTGGTGCACATTGCCGAGGAAATCCCTCAGCCAAGCAAAAATATCCCCAAGGCACTTGTGTGGACTATTGCTGTCGGCTTCACTACCGGCCGGCATGCTTACTATTTTGGCACTGTACATCAACATCACCGACATTGAGACCCAAACAGATTTTCTGACAGTCGTGTATCACATCTTTCGGCAGAACAAACACGCCGCATTCGGTCTCCAGTCCCTTCTCCTTGTTTCTACCACAGGGGCCATGTTTGGCGTCCAGACCTGGCAATCCAGGCTGACCTGGGCTTTCGCACGAAGCAGGGGCTTTCCTTTTCAATCTTATCTCCGCAGGATGGTACCATCGCCATTCAACACCCCGGTCTGGGCTATTTTGTGGTCAGCATGCTGGACGGCGCTGCTGAGCTTCGTGTACCTTGCGTCCGAAACGGCCTTTTCTTCCCTTATTTCGTGCGGAATTTTACTGCAATACCTCAGCTATGCTGTTCCCCTCGTCTTGCTCCTTTGTCATGGGCGGCCAAACTTTGCCCACGGTCCCTTCTGGCTTCCCAAGCTTGGTTATCTTGCAAACTTCGTTACCCTGGCTTGGACCGCGGTCGCTCTTGTCGTGTACTGTTTCCCTTACTATCTGCCCGTCAGCGCTGCGGAGATGAACTACATTTCTGTCATCTTGGTCCTGATCGGGCTTTACATCATTGCGTATTGGGTGCTTTGGGGCAGCCAGGAGTTTGTTTTACCGGAAGTCGAGGGTACTTCGTAGTCATTCTGGTCACTCGCACATTGAGACGTGCGTCCATCAGAAGCTACGAATGAGGATGTCCGAAAGGATGTATGCGGTTAATGTTGACACGATTATTATTCTTCTTGTGATCCTTATTGTCGTCTTCCTCCCCGCCGTCTCTCCACGCAATACTAGTCTATCATACCACTACTATCCACCTGAATAGTCTGCAGTATCAGTCCGAATGGGAAATGTTTTGTTGTAATGGGAAGTTTGCACTGTTCCACAGCTCACCGTCCGGGTAAATGTAATGCTCGTTGCAAGGGGGCTGTCCAAGGCACCAACTCAGACCTTCGTCAGCCCAACAAACACTTAAGTCATACGAAAGGGATGTCGTAGCTCTTTCAAGCTGTGACATGAACCTATTCAAAGCGTCTGTTCGATACAGTGAATTCCATCCGCCGAGGATACATAAACGGCACTGTCAGCTCAATGACTCGCTTCCTGACTGTGTCCTATCCACAACTCATCTCTGTCCTGGTGCGATCGGACCAGCCCTCAAAACCTCGAAACATCTCTGGCGCAATGCATTTGTCATTGAAAACCCTGGTTCTATGCCTTGGCGCTGTTGTTTCCGCTTCCCCGACCCCGTTGTCATCCGGTTTGGAAGACATCGCCAGACGCGTCCCACACAGTGAGTTGATACCTTTCTAACCTCAAACTCTCTCATCAAGATAAGTCCGGCACTATCCCAAGAGGCGTCTCCGTGCTGTTTCTGGTCATATCCTAACTGTATCACCCCAAAACAGATACGTGCAAGCTCGACATCACGGAGATTAGAACCTGCGAACCGCAAGACCGAAACCTCTACACGCGCTTCAAACTCGAAGGCCCCAACCAAGTCCTCTGGCACGAGACACCCCAGCTATCGGCTCCAGGCCTATCGATCAACCCCTCAAAGCCCCTCGAGCTGAAGGAGGCAGGCATGCAGTACATCCTGAAAATCACCGGTCGCCATGACAAGGACGACGTTGAGTTCAAATATGGCCTCTTGACCTGGACGACGGACTCCACGTCGGGGTTCGCCAAGTGCAGAGGTGTGACGGCTGATGACTGGAACAAGGGGGGCAGTCACTGCCGAACTGATGTAAGTCATGGAATCTGAGGGCCGAAATGACATGGGAGGTGTGCTGTGCGCTAACGTTTGGGTATAGTCGAGGCAGTTCCAGTGCGAGTTCGCCTGCTAAACTCTGACATGACCTCGCTGGTGGTCTGGTCGTTGTTCATTTCCTGTTCGGGAGAAGGACCAGCTACTTTCTCACGTCTTCTCCCGCTGCCATGCTGTTTGAGTACCGAGCAGTAGGGCTTTCACAACTACAAGTACGGCTGCAAACGCATGTCTTTTGGTATTGCTAGAATCATACCTTGAATAGTACTGCATTGATTGAAACGCTTCTCGGTTTTCTCGTAATTCCAAATAAGTCTCCATTTATTTGTGTCTGCAATCCTTAGCTGAGAACGAAAGATAAATGTAGATCAGATGAAATACAGGGACCAGCGCATGGATATTCAAGCTTCTCCAGACCGTGAGCCTCTAAGCCGAACCTTGTCGTCCAAAAAGCCGGGGATCCCACCCCTCCTGGCACACTTCCCCGCCGGACCCAATATCCCGAGATACCGGGTATCTCGTATTCGCGCACTCCTATTGGACATGTCTACTTCAAACACGATTAATCCCGCTCGCGGCTCAGCAGGCTATCTAGGTAATATGGGATCAGGGGTTTCCATTTGGCTAAAATTGCAGCGCGGGTGAAAGGGTATAGCCCAAGCGGATAAGCCGTTCGGACGACTTTGTTCCGTTTCATCATAAAAAGGCCACGATGCTCCCGCTCTTGGCTTTGCGGAAGTTGAGACGAGAGACTCAGTCGCGCGGGGACATATGCAATCATGAGGTCTATCTTGCTGGCCATCGTGTGGGCGGCGTCTGCTTTGGCCTTCCCTATAGGTGAGGGTTTGCGTGAACGGCAGGATGATAATCACTGGGTCGTGACGTGGACATCCATGCCTCAAGAGGTTGAGCCGGGAAACCTGCCGCCTTCGCCATTTGTAAGAAGCATATTACTACCCTACGGAGTCGCGCTACGGATGTACTGACGAGAGCAGAACGGGGGAAGCGCACAGTTCCGCGATGCAACTCTCCGCCAGACCTTTCACACCTCCATCGGTGCATCGCGGCTGCGCGTTCAACTGTCCAACACCTTTGGCGGCTCAGATCTCCCCATCACAGCAGCATCACTCGCCTTACCTCTAGATGGCGCCGCAGGGGTTCCCGGCATCGATAACAAGACGCTCAGAGGTCTCACCTTCTCTGGCTCGCCGTCAGTGACGATCAAGCAAGGAGCGGTGGTCTACTCAGACCCCATCGAGTTCAATGTAGCGGCGCAGACTAACATCGCTCTGAGCTTGTACACCCAACAGGGCCAGTCCGGGAGCAAGATCACGGGGCATCCGGGCAGCCGCACGACGTCGTGGATGCAGAGCGGGAACCAGGTGAATGCGTCGTCGGTGACGGGCGCGAGTACGAAGCACTGGTACTTCGCCAGCGCGGTGGAAGCATGGGCGCCGAAGAACACGTCGGCCATGATCATCCTCGGGGATAGCATCTCTGATGGACGAGGAAGCGATGATGACAGGAACAACCGGTAACTTACATCTTCCCATTGGAATATGAGTGCGTGACTGACTTCAGCCCAGATGGCCCGACCTCGTCCTTGCGCGCCTCCAAAAGGAGGGCCTAGCCAACATCGCCGTCGCAAACCAAGCAGCAGGCGGCAACGCGGTGCTCCAAGGCGGTCTGGGGCCTCCGCTCCTCACACGCTACAACCGCGACGCCCTCTCCCAGCAAGGGGTGAAGTACGTCTTCATCTTCGAAGGTGTAAACGACATCGGACCCAGCGCGACGGACTCTGCGACCCAGCAGCGGCTCGGCGACAGCCTGATCAGCGCGTACAAGCAGATTGTCGCCGACTGTAAGAAGGCGGGCCTGGTGACCATCGGTGCGACAATCACGCCGTTCGCGGGTAGCGGGCAGTCGTACTCGAACCCGGCGCGGGAGCAGACGCGGCAGAGGGTCAACGAGTGGATTCTCGAGAACGGGACGTTTGATCACGTCGTGGACTTTGCTTCGTTCATCGGGGACGGGGACCATTTGAAGGCGCAGTTTGATGGAGGCGATCATTTGCATCCTAATGTACCTGGGTACCAAGAGCTGGCCAATAAGTTCCCGGTGGAAATCCTTAGGAAATGAGGCTCGGCTGCCATTTGGAGCTGCCCACGGAGCAGGGCATGCTAGTATCTTACGTATGGAATAAAGCAACCAGGCTGAGGGATGCCGTGTCCTCGTCAAACACCAGTCAGTGGAACACGGGCGTCCCGGTCCTAGCTTGCGGGTGATTGAATCTTCAGCCCGGGAGCCATTCAACGCAACGGTCACAGAACGTGAGCGCGGTAGGCGATGCCATACGCCCCGGCTAATGACGGCTACGCGGCTCGGTGAGCACAATACAAGACGAATTAGTGCATTTGTTGATCGGCAAGGCGGAATCACGCTTGGCGCCTGGCACCTGAGGGGAAGCAGCGCCTGACCTTCACAGTCGGCTGACGAAAATGATGAATAGCCTGCTGTAAGCCATAAGATAAGTATGAGAGCCATAAAACTTGAAAGGTCTCCGTGAATTTTGGAACAGTTGAGCATTCATTGGGGTAAAGAACCTCTGTTGGCACAGAATATGCATCACTAGGGAGTGGCGTGGACACACTCTCCAAGCAATTCGCCGACCGCCGTGTATTCTATTCACGGCCCCTTCACGGACAGGCACCGACGGGTATATACGAGTGAGAGGGACATCACTTCAAGGGTCGGTGTGATGGACGATGACTGGGATTCGGACCTGGACGGTCCAAAAGGGTATGCCGATGCCCCGCGGGAGAAATGGAGCGTCCAAGATGATTGTGCAGGCTCTCCCAATGCCCTCGATTCCCCGTCTCAATGGGCGGAACAACTCGAAGCTTCTCTGAACACAATATCCTCCCTACAGGCTGCTCGGCGGGCAGTGGTGCCGTCATCGTCATGGCGCATGGTGCAAGGGAGCGATCTCTTTACCTTCGAGGCAGAGACACGTTCAGCCGTCCGAGAGGAGCGGGGGAGAATGCCACACCACCAAGGAATAGGCGATAAAATGTTATTCACCGGTCTTTTGGGCCTGCTAGGGTTTGGGATCGTGTCCGCCGTTCTTTGCGGCGAGGGCGCGAACAGGTTGGAGTCAGTTGACCTGAGCCCAAACGCAAAGGCTGCCGCGTGAGTGATCTAAGCCCGGATGTTGTAATGGCTGGAGGGGCATATGCTGACGAAAAGGGCAGCCAGATAGCCATGATCATAACCATGTCGTGTGTCTTCGCACTCGTTACAGTCGTGCCGTGTTTGTCAATATCCATTCCCCATATTTGGGAATTTTTCGTTCTTCTCATCTGCCTAGAAGGATTTGGAAGCGGGGCGTATGCCGTTGCAGTAGCCAGAACCAACGTGGATAAGGGCTCCTGCGATGAGTACCTCATGTCTGTTGATGCCTGCTGGAGCGGGTTACGGATGGTGACGACAGGCGGTGTGTTCCGCATACTGCTTCTGTGAGTCAACCGCATCCCGATACCGTATGATTTTGCTGATGCCAAGGCAGTCCACTGGGGATTATCATAGGAACCGGTTATTTGATGCGTTTCAAAAAGGAGAGGGTTGTCACCTTTCACGGTATCGCCTACAGGGGGCGGTCGATAGTGCGAAGCATCTGAGAGTGAGGCCGGTCGTCAGAGAGTCCCTTCACAGTGGAGGTTAAAGTTCCTTGGCTCTGGTAAGGCAACCAGTCTATCAGCGGTGAAGACCCGAAGGTATGGTTGAAGGGACGGGAATATCTGCCAACGTCAGGATTAATGACCCAGCTGGATGGTTCGGAGGAGCGGGCACGACGGGAGGAATCTGGGATCATGATCCCGGCTCCATAGGCGTAAGGATTACCAACCGAATCGCTGCACAAATCCCAGACTGTTATACCCAGATGCAGCGGTCGGGAACGAGGTAATGAACAGGTTCAAATCCCGAAAGGTGTCTTGGATGAGTTGGCTGTCACCTCGAGCCCAGAAACATGCAGCCGGAAATTAGGGCCCCAATAAATTGTCGGCAGCATGCGTTGTGATAGATGCATGGTGGTCCAGGAAAGGGAAATGATTGCCTGCGAGGTGACACTCGAGCCCCGTCTTCGCATCACTCCGTCAAGTTGCCCTCGAAATGCTTGGTTCTTCTTCCCAAAGTTACTTCTTCGCGAGCAAGAAGACGCAAGCGAGCAGGTTTCTCGAATGTTTGCTGGGGTCCAGCGGCAGGTAGCCGTGGCACTGGGAGCGATTCCCAGCCAAATGGCACCCTCACGGGCAAGGCAACCGGCCTAAAAATGGACAGAAAGGCTCGCTATGACGAGAAAAGCAAAGATCCAGCAAAGATACAGCCGGGGTGCCAGGTCTAGTCCTGTAGCCGCTGTTCCGCGATGCAAGCCGCATGGAACCGTAGCTGCATCCTACCGCCCAACAATTGGTTCCGGGCTGTTGGATCCCCAGGGACCCACCCCCGTCGTATCATTGCTGTCTTGCCGAGGGATGCAGGAGGCTCACACCGGATGGCAGATAGAGGAGACAATGTTGCTTTTTCTTCGCTGGTGTCGTTTCTTGCATGCGCCTCCCTGACGCCGGGAAGCGAGATCCCAGAGGTGTGGTTTGGATTTCCCAAGCGTGGTCGCCTTCCTGGGTCGCGGGCGACGGGCTGTTGTGAAAAGCCAGAAGAATGCACAACATCCTCCCTCGTTCCACAAGATTGTGCCACTGCGGTCTTTGTGCGATTGTTTCTTTTCCTTTCGACCTCGAGCCTCGTGTCCTTGCCCGAGTCTTCTTCGCAACCACCTTCGTGCGGTGATTGTTTCTTCAATATTGTCATTCCTGAGGCTCGGTCGGGCGCAGTTATTCGTGGCTTCAATGGCAACGGCAGTTCCAGACATTCTGCCCAACCCAGACGTCGACCACTGGGGTATCGGAGTATTATTTGAGGAAGATGGGCCGGACTGCCGCCGATGTGGGAGCCGCTCCCCAGGACGGTCAAGTATCAGCCTCGAGACTAAAGAGGCAGTCGTGGCCTCTCCACGGTAGGCCTGGAACTGCCAGATGACTCTACCGACGTGTGCTGATCATGATTCAGCCCCGAAATCAAAGCCAAATCGTCTCCATTCCGTCGGTCAGGGGCACCATCACCTGAGTCTCGTAGCATCAGGTCGATAACTGACGACATTGCGGGACTGCAGAAGCAGGTGGGCGATGTCGAACAAGAGGACGCAGCGATGCCAAGAACACCTCTGGCCGACCCTAGCAGTGATATATCAACATCACCAACGTGCGCTGGGCCAATGAGCTCGTACTTGACACGACCAGAGGCCCATGAGAAAAGAGCCTTATCATTGCGTGTGGATGACGACGCTGAGGATGTTTCCGATTGCGAAGGGTCTGTTCTCATAGGATTGAAGACGCTTCCCGGAGTCCATAGAGCACGAAAGAGAAGTCATTCGCCAATATTCGGCATACCCAGGCCAAAGTCGCCAGGCATGCCGCATGCCCTGGAACGGTACCTTGCATCAACAGCCTCTGATGAGGGTCAGCCAGTCGAAGACCCGACTGAAGTAGTCAGGCCAATCTCGCAAAAGGGTTTGGTAGATCGCCTGGGTCAACCGGGCATCGAAGGGGACTCCTCAGAGCCTCTGCAAACTGTTCCTGCAACAGGGAACGAACCACGTGAAGTCGAAAGAGACCCAGCTGAGCCAGCCATAGTCGAACCAGCCGCAGTCGGACCAGCCGCAGTCGAACCAGCCGTAATCGAACCAGCCGTAATCGAACCAGCCGTAATCGAACCAGCCGTAATCGAACCTGCTCCAGTTGACCCGGTTCCAAACAGTCCGGCGTTAGCCCCTGCACTCTCCGGAGAGCAAGCGATTGCCAATCCACCGGAAGAACAATGGGATCCTTTTGCAGACCGATGGGATAGACCAATATCTGTTGACGCAGATCAAGGTCCCGGCGGTGACTCGGGTGTGGAAGACATGGAGGCGAGCGAGATCTACGCTCGACTGTTAGTTCCCAGTCCTTGGCAACGGTTGATCCCATGCTAACTCTGTGCAGGGCGGCAACCCGAAGGGCCCGAGAGGCGAACATGATTAGATCTCATGAGATGCCTCGAATGCCTAGAGCTCGAGTGGAAAGAAAAAAGAGGTTGCGAGCTCGAGAATGACGTGTGGTAAGTGGCGAGGAATGGCGGCGTTTGGTGCGCGGCGCTGCTTGGGGGTGCCGGCGCTGGAGGCAGCTCCTACTGGAGATATGGGTGATGAAGTTTGATGAAACACCGGGGATGTGAAATTTATCCAGAAGAAATCATGAGAAACCAAGGAATCCATTGAAGAACGCAACGAACTGAATCAAAATCGACCTTAGGAAGAGATGTGACATGGTGCAAAACAAGAGTTGAAGTCCAACGGCTGTAATGAAGCTGGGGCAGGAGCTTGTTCTTCAGGAGGCCCCTTCCCAGGAAGGAGCACCTGAGCACTGTTCAGGTACCCCACCAACTGAACTCTAAAAGAGCTCGCCTATCGTAGTTTGGCTGCTTATCAGCACCTTATCGGCCGAGCAGCGGCTATCTCTTATCGCTCGTTGTCGCTGCCAGCCTAACGCCATTGCCTTGAGGTACCTTCACCACTGGTCAACCGCAGCTTCGTTTCCACCCCACGCAACGAAGCATCGTCGACGGTCGCAAGCCGCCTTCCTCGTCCCCCGATCGCGACACCACCGCCATGCCCATGGCGCCGTGCGAGCTCGAGCTCCATGTATAGCCGCGAAAACAAGATCATGCGCAAACTCCTCGGCAAAGTCACTGCCGACAGCAGCACCGACACAAGCCATACCATCGGCATCACCAGCGCGCCTCAGTTCCAGACCTCCTACCGCCCCAGCGCCTCCCAGAACGCCGTCTACCCCGCTTGCGTGCCCATACTATGCCTCGATACCTCTCCCGACCATCGGACTGCCATTATCGCCGGCCGACATGTTCTCAAGACCGTCGTCTTGGACGGCCTGTCCATTAGCGAGGGCGTCGATGTCCGCGGCGCCATCACGGCCCAGTCGACCTCGAGCAAAGGTGCTTCGAGCTCCCTGATGGCCGACCAGCTTTCGATACGAGACGTAAAATGGCATGGCGATTCCACGATATTCACAGCTTGCGCGAACGGCAACATCTTTTCCTACGATCTGGCGCGAATTGCGACGGGCGGCACTCCCCTAGAGTTTGTCCAGACGAGGGAGGATTCGCGTCAGGTGAACTCGCTGGACATCAATCCACATCGCCGGACGACTTTACTATCGGGGAGTCAGGATGGAATGGTGCGCTATTTCGACATTCGCGCCCCGGTCCAGAGTCGCTCGGGCGGCTTCACCTACAGTCCGAGAGGAGCCTACAAGTGCAATGCAGATGGTGTTCGCCAGGTCAAGTGGTCGCCCAAGGACGGCTTCTATTTCGCCTGTGGAACAGAGTCTGGTGTGGTTCTGAAGTGGGATGTGCGTAAGATCGCGCAGCCTCTGCTCAAGATTCCTGCACACGACAAGGCCTGCACCTCGATATCCTGGCATCCCGACGGCAACCATCTGATCAGCGGCGGCTGGGACAGCAAATGCGCCGTCTGGGACATGTCCAAGAACGCAGACAAGAGACAAAAGCCTCGCTGGCTCATTTATACCCCTGCGCCTGTATCTGCCGTGGCATGGAGACCTGGTCTTTGGTCTGCAAGCGCCCAGGGAAAACGCGCCGCTCAAGTCGCTGTATCATATGATGACGGCAGCCACAAGCGATACGGAATCAACAACGTTCACATCTGGGACCTGGCGAGGCCCTCAATGCCGTATAAAGAAATCGATCGCTTTGATTCCTCGCCATCATGCCTGCTGTGGCAGAACCAAGATCTCCTGTGGACTGTCGGTAATGATGGATTATTCAACCAATGCGACGTCGCATTCGCCCCTAAGGTGCTGGACCGACAGTCCGTATCCAGCATGGCTTTGTCCGCGCGAGGCGATGCGGTCATGTTTCTCGACGAGCGACCACATCATCGCCCTCGACCACCAGTCATCCACCATCAACAGCAGAGCATTGTGCCGCCGAGAACTTCCTATAGTTCGAGTCCTACCACTCCCATGCTCAGCATCAGTCGCAGCGACTCGGAAGAGGACGTCGTCGGAAGCTTTCTGGGTCCTCGACGAAGGATAGGCAGGAAGCGAAGACACAGCCTAAGGTCAATTCCTGTCCTGAGTACCACGCCGCCCTCTGGTCCAAGCCTGGGCGACGACGCTATCCTGGGCTTGGAAGCAGCGATTAAAGTCACGGGCACCTACAAAACACAACAATCAATGGCCGTCGGCCACATTCCAGCAGCAGCCAGAGTTGACGTGTACCAGTTTCTTTCGAGCTACTACCTGGAGACCATTGAGCGGGAGCTTCCTTACGTTACGGGCGGAAAGCCTTTGGCGAAAAGGGTCTCCTCCATCATGGAGCATTATGCCCGTGCAGCAGAGCAAGTCAACCAATTCCGTCTGGCACAGACTTGGGGAATCCTCGCATACTCAGTCAACCTATTATTGAACAGAAGGGCGGAGTATCATCTCCAGCTTCGACTGGGCCATTTCCAGAAAAGGCCATCCCTGCCAAAGATCAAAGATATCCCAAAGGTCAAGGTCCCAAGATCGTTAGGCGTCGTCGTGGAGATGAACGGCGAGGACACGCCCAGACGGCCTTCCAGCGCCGTCATCTCAAATAGCGTTGATAACAGGTCGCTGGGGCCACGATCGCTGCTATCTGAGGAAATCGAGAGTACATCCAACGTCACAACGCCCATCGCCCGGGCCATTAACGAAGAGAACGCAGAACAGGGGGCGTCTCGATCGGATTCACGTCTACCGCCCGTCGTGGAGTCGGATGGCTTTGCTTTGCCCCCTGCTGCTCACAGTACGTTCAACAACAGTCCTCGCAGGCGACTGGATTCGGTCCCTTTGTCTGTCACAAGCCATCACAGCGACCAGACACAGGTCTCTAGCACAGATGGATACGACTTTTATGATACTGACGCCCTCGCTCAAGCTATAGATGTGCCCGAGCCAAAACAAAAGGAGCAATTGCCCTTGGACTACGGCCCCCGCACCCCAAATAGCCGCCGAACCGCTCTGAGGCACAACTCGGACGACAGCTTTGCCCAGATGTTCTCCATGTCTGAGAGCAGCAGGCAGACATCTGGGCTTGCGTCGTCTTCTGAGGGGGGCGTCTCGGCTAGATCCATCACGAGCTACCCCGTGCAAATGCAGAAGCAGATTGTTGACGAGCAGGGCGAATATGAAAGTCGTATCCGTGGGGAGGAGATTGAGGACTCACCAGAACATGGCGCGTTGACAGAGCTAAATGCGCCTGTAGAGAGCACGCCGAAAGACTCGCCAGAGGAGATATTCATGATCTCCCAGACCACGCTGGCATCCGACACCGCTACTGACGACCTATCGCAATCCCAAGTCAACTCCCTTCCACCAACATATGAGGACCTCGCCCCTCTCCATGTCGGTGTATCTTCTTCAACCCCGCCAAAACCTAATCCAACTCTCCAACACGACCCGACCCCGTCGATCCTCGAATCTGACTACCTCCCCTGGCCAGAAGACCCTTCGTATCCGCACCCTCTCGCCTCCAAAGAAACCCCCGAAAACTCACCGCCCCTCAACCCCTACACACTCCTCACCCGCGCGCTCGACTTCGAAACCCGCACATCGGCCCTCAACGCCTCGGCAATGGTTCTCCTCCTCAAGCCCCTCATGCCAGACTCCGTCATCGACCCCTTCCGCGCAACCTCGATCCTCCGCCAACACCACTCCCGCCTCATGGGCATGAAACTCTTCATCGAAGCAGCCCTTCTCCGCAAACTCTGCGTCCGGGGCTGGCCCGAAGGTATCCCGGACTGGGGCGCAAACTACACCTCCATCTTCGGCACCGCCCAGCAGGGCGTCAAAGGCGGCTTCATCTGCCCCTCCTGCCGCAAGCCCCGCGAGCTCGACCCCAAGCTCGGCTCCAAGGCCCTCTGGAAATGCGAACGCTGCCGCGTCGCCATGGCCCCCTGCGCAGTCTGCGGCCACCGTGAGACCACCGCCACCGTCCTCCCCATCCCCGACGGCGCCTCCCCCCAGAAGCAGCAGGACCCCGTCATGAGCACGTGGTGGTACTGCCCCGGCTGCGCCCACGGCGGCCACGCCACCTGTCTGCAGTCCTGGCACGCGCCCTCCGACGACGGGAGCACCCGCTACGAGCTCAGCGACGGCTGCTGTCCCCTCGACGGCTGCGGCCATGCCTGCCTCCCCGGAGAATGGGGCGACGAGAAGTCCGCTGCGCGCGCGGACGAGGTCGGTCGCGCGGCCGTCGAGAAGGCGCGGCTGGGCGGCTTCGGTGCTGGAGGCGGAGGCAGCGTCGCGGGGAGCAAACCGCAGAGCCCTGTGATCCAGCCTAACGTGCGCGGAGACAAGGACGATGTGCCGCAGAGCCGGGCCGTCGAGAGCGTGCGCGAGGCGTTGGCGGGGGGCCCGCCTGGGGCTGGCATTTTGAGCTCGAGCCCCGGGACGAGGCAGGGCGAGAGGGAGAGAAGGAAGAGTGTAAAGTTCGTCCCGACGGAGCGCTAGTGGCGCGTCGATCTGCGAGCTTTTCGCTCCTTGTAGGTGGTCATTTGAAGATACTGTACGATAGTGTGTTTAGCGAGGTGTTTTGAGAGCTACAGCGTTGCGTCTTTCGGAGCACTGGCGTCGGGTTTTCATCTTTGGAAAGGGGATGATGGAAGTTAAGAAGATGATTTGGCACAGACGTAGAAGAGGGCCATGTACGAGTATTAAAGGTATCATTAAGGCGAACGCCGCCGGGTATCTCGACAATTGAAACTACGTAATTATCCCACCCCCCTTTCTGTCCCGGTATTGTAACTTTTGTTCCTCCCTTAATTTAAGTCCCAACGTTTTCTCTCAGACCCTTGGTACGAAGTGACAATTTCATCTGTCCCTCATCAAACGGCAGAGATGCAGGTGAAAATGAGGGCAATTCCGGCGA